GGGGGGGGGGGGGGGGGGGGGGGAGTATTGACCGGATTGACAAGAAAAGTTTAAAACGGACCCTCCGCTTCCTGGAAACGGAGTATCCGGATCCATGTTCCTACGTGGTTAACTGTCGCGACATTTTCACCTGACAGAGAGATAGAGATACTTTCCTTCGGAGCTGAAGCCACGAGAGAGAGAGAGAGAGAGAGAGAGGGAGGGAGTAAATGGCGAAATCGAGCGCAGACGACGAAGAGCTAAGGCGAGCGTGCGAGGCGGCAATTGAAGGCACCAAGCAGAAGATCGAAATGTCGATCAGAGTCGCCAAGAGCCGAGGGATCTGGGGCAAATCCGCCAAATTAGGCCGTGGTCACATGGCCAAACCTAGGGTCCTCGCCATTTCCAGTACGCAACACCGTATTTAAATTTATGTCGCATTTTTTACCCATTTCTTTAACAATTCTGCAATTACACCAGTCTGTTATTTATATGTGATCTAGCTGCACCAATTCCCATTTTGTCTTTGAGAAATTAAACCATTTCTGGTTTTTTTATCCTTCCGTTTTTGACTCTTGCAATTGCATCTCCATAATCTAGGATGCAGTTGTGTCTCCTTTTTCAATTGGTTTTGCTAATTTAGAGCTTGTATTACTCAGCATCTCAGCATACAGATAGTAGAATTATGCTTATTTTGATGAGAGAAATGACTAGAAAAGATATTGATGCAATTTCTGTTGACTTTTAATTCACGATCAAGTAATTGGAGTCTATTACCAATCTACCACAATTATAAAACTTATTTATCGATCTACTGCCGTTTTCAACTTATTTACCAAACTATCGTTGTTTTAAAAGCGGATTTGGCAAATCCGACTTCACGGGTAAAGCGGATTTGACAAATCCGACTTCATTTGGAAAGCGGACATACCAAATCCGCCTTTATATGAAAAGCAGACTTACCAAATCCAAGGTGCAAGCCTTTATATGTATAATTGTGTTGATCGCCAAAAGAGTATTTGACTATTTATTGAATACGTTTGGTCTCTCTGATTATATATTCTTTGTGAATCAATTACTTACCTTTATTAGTCGTTAAAAATCCGCTAATAGATTCTATCTAAATTCATTAGTTATAACCCGTGTCTGAAGACACGATAAAATATAAAATTCGAGCATCAAAAAAATCGATTCCATTATATTAAATTTTTTTAAAATATATTAATTATAAATTAATCAAATATTAAATAATTAAATATATGATAAAAATGAGTGATTTATTTTTTAGGGAGAAAATATATAAAGTCAAGAATTTCGGGTGGTATCCTCCCAGTAAGAAAATTAGATGAAATATTAAAAGTTACTAGCTGAGACAAATTTCCCAACTCATTTGGCAACTCAGACATAAAATAATTTTTCAAGAGATCAAGCATTTGCAACATTTGGCAGTTTCCAATCTCAGGAGGAATAGTACCACTGAACTTGTTCTGGCCCAATTCAACCGCAGAGAGGTTCATCAAATTGCGCAAATCACCAGGAAAATCCCCAATAAGTCTGTTTCCACTTTGACGAAATTGCACCAATGGTTTGAGGCCTGTGAGATTATTAAGGCGGATTTGGTAAGTCTGCTTTCCATAAAGGCGGATTTGGTATGTCCGCTTTTTAATTATTAAAGGTCTGGTTCAGAACAAAAAACGGATTTGGTATGTCCGTTTTTTATATGAAGTCAGATTTGGTATGTCCGCTTTCCCTATGAAGTCGGATTTACCAAATTCGCTTTTCAAATGAAGTCGGATTTGGCAAATCCGCTTTCCCCATGAAGTCAGATTTGCCAAATCCGCTTTTAAAACAGCGGTAGTTTGGTAAATAAGTTGAAAACGACAGTAGATTGGTAAATAAGTTTTATAATTGGGGTAGATTGGTAATAGACTCCAAGTAATTGGGTGCTCAGGGGAGTGTCTTAATTATTTGAATTGGATAATCATGGGTGATGAGATTTGAGTTGGTATATCTGAAGGTTTTGAATGATGGAGTTGTAAACTAGTGATACTATCATGGATGAGAGTAGTTGGAGTGTGGCATGTAATTCATTAACTAAAAAAGGAGGATTGAAGTGGAATAAAATGCTTTTTCCATGCATTGGGCGATCCGAGGTCAATGAGGGCAACTTTTGGGAAGATATGTGTGCTATGACGGGGGTTCTGACCTATGAATGTATACCAAGTGAAGTGACAGAGTGTGATGATTTGACAATATTTCATACCCCACCTGAGGTTTGAAAATGTAGCACTGCCGCAAAATATAAGGGCATGGTATTTTAATATTTGACGAGGAAACTCTGCTATGCTTCTATGTATGAATATCTGCAAGAATGCCCCTGATCTGTTTTAGGTCTTTTACCTATGAGGCTATGTCCACTTCAGAATGATTGAATCTGTTGCCTCCAAGGGTACTGCGGGTCAATTGGTGATGCCTCAATGGGCCCTTTCTGTCCATTGTATGTCTTTGCTAAGATACATGATGACTTCCCTTTGCTGCACCATGATTATTGCTGAACAAACTCAAATAGAACGTAATACCACACACTCATCAATACCATGTATTGTTTTTTTTGTTGATGGAGCAATTCTCAGGTTTCCAGCTTGAGAAGTTGGTCCTCTGCTAGCTGTGATCACTTCTCTAATATGAGAAATTTTTTCGGAAGGGCTATGGTTTGGAGAGACCATATATCTCTAAACTTAGACACCCAAGAAGGTAACTATCACACTTAAATATGTTCACTTTGTGTGGTTTATGCAGCAAAGCCGAAAGGTCCGCGGGTTAAAGCTTTTCTTCGTGTCTTGAAGTATTCCAATGGTGGAGTCCTTGAGGTGATTCCCTGATGTTTTCCTTTTTCTTGAATTCCTTGTTTTGGTCAGATGAGTTTTGAGATTCTTAATAGATCAAATAAACTTTAGTTTAATGATAGCCACATCCTACCTTGCTAGTCATTGAATCTATGACTCATTTCAGTTGTAAGTAGTTTTCTTCATGGCCAGTTGGGTGCGATGATTTCTTTGCTGGGAGCTGTATTAGTCCATTAGAACATGCTAGTCATGAGGCTTTTTATATTTAAATTCCTGAATGGTGATATGACAACCTCAATAACAAATAGTCGGAGAATGACATTCTGCTGATCTTTTTTGTTTGCTTTCTAGAAAAGGAACCTTACTTTCTCAAAGTCATATTTGTGGCCAATATTTTTATGGAATTATTGGTTGTCCATGCAGCCTGCCAAATTATACAAGCTGAAGCATCTTTCAAAGGTGGAGGTTGCAACTAATGACCCTAGTGGATGTTCCTTTATGCTGGTAATGCTTCTTCTTCTTCATAATTTTGCACAACATTCCATTTGAGTTATTATAACCTAAAGATTACAGCTTGGCAGCCCATATTAGGATGTTTTAACACTTTCCCAAATGATTCTACTTCTTATAGGGATTTGACAACCTTAGAAGCCAGAGTGTTGCCCCGCCTCAGTGGACCATGCGTAACATAGATGACAGGTAACATTATAGGCGATTGTTCAATTAGATAACTCTTGATACTTTGGCATTGTTTTATCTGTCTCTGGTTGCATGAGTTCTCTGTCATCTTTTTTGTTCTTATGTTCTAGGAACCGTCTTCTACTTTGCATATTAAACATCTGCAAAGATGTATTGGGTCGTCTTCCCAAAGTTCTTGGTATAGATGTTGTGGAGATGGCTCTTTGGGCTAAGGTGCATATAAAAATTATTTGGTCTCTCCTTTATTATAGTAGTTTGTGATTTTTAGTATTAAATTCAGATGGTTTACTTAATACATATGGTTGACATACTATAGATGTTTATGAATTGAGGCACAACTACCATGGCTAAATATGACCAGAATCTTTCAATTGACCTTTTGGGTGAAATTAGAAACCTGTGAATTTATCATTGCAATTGCAGTGTGATCATATATCATATTGCAGAAAATTGTTATTTTGATGCTAAGTTTCCTAATTGAACAAATATCTGTATTAACAGCATGAGGATTTTACAGATTATTGATATGTTAATTATTGGTATTGATGCGAAATGAAATCTGCCAGATTTAACCTTAATTGTGTCCTATGAAATAATTAGGGTAGGAGCTTATTTTTGTGATTTTGATCAGTTGGCAACCTGATTACTTCTCGTACATGATTTAATACATGTAATGAATGTAGGAAAACACTCCCACAGTAACTAAGCAACAAAATCTTCAAGATGGGCCTGTTGCAGCTGCAGTGACGGAAAGGGACATGAAAGTGACTGTTGAAAGAGAACTTGTGTCTCAAGCTGAGGAAGAGGATATGGAGGCTCTTTTAGGGACGTATGTTATTTTTCTTTCGTTGTCCAGTAGTGAATTGGATACTTATATAGATGTCAAAATATCATACATGTGACATGTCTTGTATGAAAAAAATAGTACGAAGAACTCCACAAATTTGTATTTTCTTGGAGGCACTTTTTTCTTCTTAACTGTTATGGTGACCATGACGAATCAAAACTATTTCATCAACTCAACAAAGCCCCATCCGAATTATCTAGATTTGGCTGAATGAAATCTGTTTCTTCATATTGCTTTATCAAGGGCCAAAAGTTATATTAATGGATAAGATATCATATTCTTCCTTACTAATGAATTAAAACTACCGTGGCCTATTAAACCATACCCAATGCCACTGCAAAAATTATGGGCAGAATGGTGTAGAGCATTGTTCCATTCCAATTGTTCGAAATGTGCTGCCCAAACGTATTTGAAAGCAAGCATGAGAAAAAATGAATGTTGCCCGCCTACAGACTGTCTTACGATCCACAAAAAGGGTCGATGCCAGTCCAGTGGTAACCGTCAATGCAGTAGGCTTTTGGGTACATTGCAAGCTTTATTCAATTCAAACAATAACCCGAACTAAAAAATAGACAAAGCCATCTCCTTTACTATAGGGTTGTTGCATGCAAGGGTGGAGCCACGATTTTTGTAAGTGGAGTTAGTTTAAACAAAATTACATCTAATTAATGACGTCGATTTTTAATTCCTACTAAGCCATAATATATGACTTTTGATTCATCACATCAAATAAACCATATTAAACCGAAAACTATTGCAAATGAAAACTTAGAATGCAAAGTAGTTCAATTTAAATAGAAAAACTAAACCACTGGTTCTATAAGCATTACAACATAACTGTCCCATGGAATATTGAAAATATTAATAAAATTAGAAGTCGAGATCTTTTACTTACCTTTATTTTAATTTTGTCAAGATTTAACCACACCAGGACGATGGTTGATCACAGGCTGATTATTTTGAACCTGGTATCGTTTGCAGTTATGTCATGGGTATAGGGGAAGCAGAGGCATTTTCTGAGCGGCTGAAGCGAGAACTTCAAGCCTTGGAAGCAGCAAATGTTCATTCTATTTTGGAAAGTGAGCCCTTGATAGATGAGGTAACCCTTTCATATTTCTAAAAAGATGGGTGTATGATTGTAAATTTGTAATGCTTATTTTTGGGCAGAGGTTATGTTTTATCTTATCGTCATATTTTTTTTTCCTTTTCCATAATCTAATTTGGTTAGTATGTACCCTCAGTATTATACATGCCATACAATCATCTCGTATCCACTGCTAGGATATGGCATGGAATTATCAAATGTTGTTGCATCATACCCTTATATCCAGGATCATCCCTAATATATCCTTTCCCATTGCCGTTTCCGCCTTTTCCTTCTTATATGTAACCCTTAAGCTGCTTTTGCATACTCTTTGCCCACTATCTCACACAATTCTACTCTATTAGTTAATCCATGGAGCTGCTACTGTGCCAGTTTGAAAAGCATTCATTAAATGGACAAGACCTATATAATAAGGGTGATATTTGTGATGAGACCATTCTAATTTGTATTTCTAATTGCATCATTTTTTATTTCTTCCATGCTTTTAGGTTGCAGTTATTCAAATATTAGTTGTTTATTTGTGGGTCCTGCAGGTACTGCACGGGCTTGAGGCAGCCACAAACTGTGTTGAGGATATGGATGAATGGTTAGGCATTTTCAATGTAAAACTTAGGCACATGAGAGAGGATATTGAATCGGTAGGGATCTCTTCACAATCGGATGTAAATTTGAAGGATTTCTGTTGTGTTCCATATGGCTCCTGTTTTATTTCCTTTTCTAAGATTCCAAGATACAGCATATATACATGTATATATAGATGTACTACTTTCCTATTTAGGGTCTTGAGATTCTAATCATCCTAAAATGTTCTATATTTCGCACATTATAATCTTTTGTGGGTTTTTCTGACTGTACTTGGTTCGTTTTGGGCTTTGGTACATGTAAAAAAGCTAAGCGGCATTGTTTTGGATTTTATGGTTTGAATGAAATTGGATAATTTTTTATGAGAGGATGGCTCCTTTTGTGGGATAAAATAAAATTCATGGCATCTATTTGGGCTTCCACTACAAAAGATTTTGAAGGAATACGTGTCTTCTTGAATAAGGATCATTGGGCTGAAGTGTGTGAAGAACTGGATTTCCACTCTTATTTTCCTTGTTTTTCTTTTCATGTTTTTTTAGCTTCTTAATTTTATTTTCATTTGTATATCATCTAGAGGACTCCTTGTCCTCTCATGTAATATTCTATTTTCGTTATTAACAATATCTTCTCGTTTCCTATCAAAACTAAAAAGATTAGTTCATTTTGTGCTCCCTTTCATACAGACATTCAAATGGGATTAATCAAGAAAAAAGCAACTCATTATTTTTCAGCTGGTATGGAGCCAGAGAAAGGAACTGATTTAGCTTGTTCTCTGAGAGACTAGGATTTTTATTTGGTCTTCCAAAAGGGTCTATCAGAAAGTTGGTTGTTCTAGTTGCCGCCATATAAGGCATTATATTAATGATATACTTGCATGATAGGCAATGATCTTTTTAAGACAAAAGAGCATGGACTTCTTGTATGTTGACATGCAATATATTTCCTTGTGACACACAGATAGAGACTCGCAATAACAAGCTGGAAATGCAGTCTGTAAATAATAAATCTTTAATTGAAGGACTCGATAAGCTCCTTGAAAGATTGCGAATTCCTTCTGAGGTGTTCCCTCGTCACTTTCTTTGTGAATATGACTGATGATAAAATTTTATCACACTATTTAATCCATATCTTTTGATGCTTTGTTGCTTCTTGTAGTATGCAGCAAGTCTAACAGGAGGTTCATTTGATGAGGCACGTATGCTTCAAAATATTGAAGCATGTGAGTGGTTAACTGGTGCCTTACGTGGTCTTGAAGTGCCTAACTTGGATCCTATCTATGCAAACATGCGAGCTGTATGTACACAGTCTTTTTTGTATTGGTTCTCGTCCTGCAATAGCATAAGCAGATTGGTATTAGTGTATATTGGTTTTTAGATTTTTAGTGTCAAATTTAATGCCCAAAACATACTAAATCGTTTGCTATTAGTGTATTTTGTTTTTCCTTAATCTGTTTATACCCTAATTTATTATTGGATAATGCGAAAAATCCCGACCGTATTACCCTAGTCCGGTGACACCTCGACCAAAAATCCCGTTACCATTACACCGATACTGTAAGCCAATGCCATGAAATAAAGCCCTGGTTGGATATTACATCTCTTCCGAATAATCTTGATGCATTTTTATAGATTAATATGCTATTTAGCTTCTTTATAGCTGACGGACTTAATTTTACCTTCTCAAACTTCTCCTTTCTTTTTTGAATTATATCAGAATCTCTCTCTCTCTCTCTCTCGTTTATTGATATCTCAGCACCTTGGTTACTTAATTTCTTGCTACTCTGTCCGTCCCCATGTTTGAGTATGGACTTGTGTAGTCGGCCTTCCTGAATTGGTGTTGTGCACCTAAGAACTTCAATTGAGGGGCCACTTTAATAATTATTTGATAATCATGATATCAACATTTTTTAGATTGGTGGGTGAAATATTTCAGGTTAGAGAGAAACGGGCAGAGCTTGACAAATTGAAAACTACTTTTGTTCGAAGAGCATCTGAGTTCTTGAGAAACTATTTTGCTAGTTTGGTGGATTTCATGATAAGTGACAAGAGCTACTTCTCTCAGGTATTTTCATGTGGTGGTGTTCTATTCATGATAATTGTTGACATTTGAGAATGAGAATCCTAAGTTTTGCTGTTCTCTTGGATTAAACAGCGGGGACAATTGAAGAGGCCTGATCATGCTGATCTGCGCTATAAATGCAGGACATATGCTCGCCTTTTGCAACATTTAAAGGTCAAATGCCATAGAATTTTGCGACGATTGGCTGTCATTATCAATACTCCATCTTTTTTTTATAATAATTTTCTGAAATCAGATTTTCTTTTCGTGCATTTTCAGGGTCTTGACAAAAATTGCTTGGGTCCATTGAGGAAAGCTTACTGTAGCTCCCTTAATTTGCTTTTACGGCGGGAGGTAAGGAGACAGTAAGCCTTCCCTTCTTATTTTTCATGTTTATACGGAATTGCATTTGTTATTTTCCTTAAGGGTTGTGCTTCATGGATTATTGTAAACCTTGCTAACATCTGTTAGCTGGAATTTGGTGTGCACTGGACATCTGAAAGGTGTCATTGTGCATAATGCATATTTCCTGACTCTGTAAGTGATCTACTTGGTGATGCTGGTTTTGCATCAATCTGCAGCTGAACGACCTAAGCAGGATCAATTCGGTTTGGGACCACTGGTTGCATACACTGCTAGAAAACTGAAAAGACTGCATAACAATTCTAATGATGGAGCTACCTATAAAAACTAAACAAAACATAAAGCCTGAGGATTGACCTAAAGCTTGACCTGATACAAACATATTGGGGTTGATAATTGGGCTGATGTACGCAATTTACTTTCTTTCTCCACATGCACATATGTATACTGATATTTATTTATACTTGCATAGATTTTTTTTTTAAAATTTTTTGTGTTTGGGAAGTTGCGTACTCAAGTCTTCTTTTCAGATATTGCCCCATCTAGGTTACTTACTCATGCATATGTCGAATGCATGGTGGAAGAAAATTTGACACTCTGTATCTTGTAAAATTGAGTCTGGTAAACATTCTGAGTATTGGATTCATATTATTCTAAATGAGTAGGGTGCCTTGAGGCTTGCTGGTTCCATCTTAATTTATTACATTATTTATACTTTTGGGGTTTTGTATGACAATTACGCTACCCCAGTTTGTGCAAATCTGATATTTACTGTCAAATGCGGAATTTCACAATGCTGTATTTTCTGACAGTTTTGGAATGTTGCTAGTTTGGAAATATGGTGTTTTTCATGTCCTTTTTATCTTTTTCAGGCGCGTGAGTTCGCAAATGAGCTGCGTGCTAGTACCAAAGCTTCAAGAAATCCAACTGTCTGGCTAGAAGGCTCCACAGGTTCCAGTCAAAGTGTGAACAACACAGACTCCTCTACAGTTTCAGAGGCCTATGCCAAAATGCTTACAATATTTATCCCCCTTCTTGTAGATGAGGTCACAACTCAATTATCTACTTTTTCTTGTACCTCGATTATGAACTGTACATTTTTTCCGACATTAGTTCTTCCATGGTTCGACATGCAGAGCTCCTTTTTTGCACATTTCATGTGCTTCGAAGTTCCTGCACTTGTTCCTCCTGGAGGTCTGGCCAATGGCAACAAAACCACATCAAATGATGATGGTGCGAATGATGATGATTTGGGCATCATGGATATTGATGATAATGAAAGCAAATCTGGTATTTCGTTTTCCAGTATGCTATGCTCTTTTCTAGTCCTGTTAAAGTTTATTCAGCTGTGTCTTTGTAATTTGGTAGGTAAAAACTCTATGGAGCTGGAGGCACTAAATGAATCTCTTCATGATTTGCTTGATGGAATACAAGTAATGGTTTGAATATATGCCTAATAATTTCCAGCAATCACATTGCTTGTGAACTGCCTTTTGTGTTTTAATGACAAAATATGTAAAGAGTTAAATGGATTTGAAACCATAAATGATTCTTAGGCGTAGACTCGCCGTTGCCTTTGCACTATAATGGACAAAGTTCATACAATTGTCACCCAAGTGGATGATGTGATATGTGGGACCTTTGGGCAGTAGAATCGGATACCTGGCACGAATCATCTAGACTGTAGTTTTGATCCTTTCATTCTTTCAAGAAACCAATTTTTTAAGACTTCATCAATAGTTTTTCCAGTGTGTTGGCAGGCAAGACTGGCCTTATCAGGGTGGAGATCTCAAGTCCCTTTGATGGATTTCAAGATCGAACTGAGATCTCCTATATAGGAGGGGCTGCAAGGTTCCTTCTACAACACGTATTAAGAAGCATCCCTTCCTCCATAGTCTGATCATATGTTACAGAAGTTGAAGATTAACTGGTACCATGTGTTGCTTGCTGCAGATGCAGTATGCTGTATAATTAAAGCGAAATGGAGAAAAAGAAGTGATGGCTAAAACAATTGAGTGGAGATCCTTCCTACATACAACTGCTAAATTTTAAAAAAATGTAAGAAGGCTCATCACTTCACCGACTTCCAATGCACAAGACTTTTGTTTTCACATACTTCATAGCATAATAGATATTGTTATATGAGAGAATGAAAGCCTAATAAACGTAGGTGGTACAAAGACCAGAGAAGGCTCAACCAGGCCTCAAACTTTCTTAAATGAGGCATATTTCACTGGATATTATTAATCTCATTAACCAGTTAAGTAGAAAGAAATCATAGGTAGAGAGAGAAGGAAGTCCATAAGCTGCAATATTAGCTGGGGGTACTAAATCATGTTTCTTTTCCTTTTTTCTTTGGTTTTCAACAAGCTATCCCATTGTTTACTTTGTCTGCATTGTTATTTTGATTTTTGTTTCTTGGTCGGTTTTAGTTTTCTAGCATGTTCTATCATCCTTTAAATTTTATGGAGATAATTTTTTGCCTATTCTATTGCTCTCTTATTGTTGGTTAGGCAGATTCAGTACTTATTGATTGTGATTTCTAAAATTCACCTTTCGCCTTTCACCTTTCACATTTTCTTCTTTTGGTATTGAATTTCTAGGAAGACTTCTATGCTGTGGTTGATTGGGCATACAAAATTGATCCTTTGCGGTGCATATCAATGCATGGGATTACGGAACGTTATATTTCTGGTCAGAAAGCTGATGCAGCAGGATTCGTGCGCATCTTGCTTGATGACCTGGAATCCAGAATTTCTGCGCAATTCAGCCGGGTGAGTTATAGCCTTTGTGCTGAACAATTCTTTGACCTTAGCATTAATTAGGTCAAGACATTCACCTGCAAATTATATTTCATTGCAGTTTGTAGAGGAAGCTTGTCACCAGATTGAAAGAAATGAGAGAAATGTTCGGCAAATGGGTGTCTTGTCATATATACCAAGGTAAATTGGCTCTGAGGTTCACACTTATGTATGTTTATATGCATATGTTCTTCTCCTATTTAGGTGATTGAGATTTTGAAGCATTCCACTTTTTCCTCAGCTCATGATAAGGGCAAAACTGACAGCATCAGATTTTTTGAAGTATTTTTAAGGGCCTCCACAATCAAACTTTCTTGCATCTTGAACTTTAAGATATCGCTAATAAAATGAACTCTAATTAGTGTTGTTGATTTTGATGTTTCATACAGACATGCTTTGAATTATCTAGTATTCTGATATGCCTGTTAGTTGTCTACAATTGTGCCCGGTTCATATTCCTTCTAGTTGGGGATGATGGTCTTTCAGTGTTGTAATGCAGTTGGATAGGAGGACATAAAGCACATAGTTTTAGCTTGATGAGCACCATTATAGGAATATGGTTTTACGTTGATTGGAATACCTATCAAATCCTATATGTTCAATTGACATTGTCAGCCCAGTTTTAGGAAAAAAAATTCTAACTTTTGTTGGAAGTGCATATCCATAATCCATGGCCTCAACCAATTTCTTTGCATTGATCACTGGAAACACTATGTTTTGATTGCCTATAGGCCTGTTGTACATTCAATATGCTTTTGAAAATATGCCAAGATAAATTGCTCTATGGCAACCGTAGGCTGCTTACTGTGAGATGTTTAAATTATGTATTTCACATCCTTGTAGCACTCTTTATTGTCCAATTAATTGGTGTAGTTTGACTATACCATGTGCTTGAATCCAAATGTGGTACACCCAAGTGCTGGTGATCAAGTTTTAGTCAATGATCAAAATTTTATTTTGGTGCATAGTTTCGGTGAGTTTAAAAACGGAAACATTTCGGTAATATTTTGGAAATATTTTGAAAACATTTTGGAAACAAAGTAAAATTTAAAAATTTATTTTCGTAATATTAGTCGAAATATACCAAAACATAGATTGAAACATGCCGAAACACCTCGAAACCTACCAAAACATCTCCAGACATCTCGAAAATATAGGAATTTTGATATTTAATTAATAATTCGTTTCGATTTTTATGAAAACAGAAACGTTTTGGATATTTTGAAACAAAATTTAGTTGCTTGATTGTAGTAATAACTCGGTGTAGTCCGAGGTTGATCTTCAAGGAATGGGTAAATTTAATAAAGTGTAAGAAAGAACAAGATTTTTAAAAAGTAGGATTAATTGGAAAATAATTCATAAAAGTAAATTTAAAATTAATAATAATTTGGAAAACGACTTCCTAGTTTCGAGATCCGGATCTACTAATATTTATCGAAAAGTAATATTTGTGCAATATTAATTATCTCAGTTGTTTTCCAACGTCCATGTAGTCAATTGAAAAATATTTCGATGAACGAAAAATTAGTTTGATTGATTTGAAAATAAGCTTTGAAGAACTAATTAAAATACTTGCGGTGAATTATAAATGTTATTCATACCAAGAATATCAATCTTGTTGATGAATAATTAAATAATTATACAAAGTATTAAATTTTACTAAGAACATCCAATCAATCGAATAAATAAAAGATTTAACATTGAGATCAAAATAAAAATTGCATAAATATAACGATCCAAATAAATAATTACAGATCCATCAATGTTAACTAGAATGTACAAAAAGACTATTCATAATTCATAGTTGGACCCATAGTTATCAGAAGGGAATCGGATATTGAACTGATAAAGCGACCGAGTCAATGGTTCACTGGTCAACTGATCGTATAAAAAAAAATTATTGCTAATAATAAATATGCTTAAAAATTAATATCTATAATATAAAATAAGACATGTTTTAATATGCTCTTCCGGTGGTTTCAAATAGACTCATTCACCTGTTACCAAATCCCTCCCAAAACTATTCACTTTGCACCGTACTTTCAAGTACGAATTATCCCTAATTATAAAAATAAGATGTTTGATGTGTAGTGGTAACATTGTGATGACCCTGTTAACTTTGATTAATCATAGAAAAGATAAGAGAAAGAAGAAGGAATATTATTGAGACACAATTAGCTAGTATAACATAATGAAAAAATACATACAAGAGGTCTTTATATAGTAGGGCAACATAAAAGAAAAACAAAAATAACTAAGTTATCCCTAAGTCTAAATATACTAACTACTCTAACACACTCCCTCAAACTTATGATGTGGTAGTAAAAAAAATTAAGAGTTTATCAAGAAGAAAACGAAAGCGAGTGATAATATGCAACTTTGTGAAGAAATCTACTAACTGCATAGTAGAAGAAAGAAAAGGGAGGGAGATAGTGCCCAACTGAAGATAATGACGGTCAAAGTGACAATCAATTTCAATATGCTTTGTACGTTCATGAAAGACTGAGTTATGAGCAATCTGAATAGCACTAGTATTGTCACAATACATAGGAGTCGGCGTAGATAACATGATGTCAAGATTAACTAGGAGCTATCATAACCAAACTATCTCAGTTATAGTAGATGCCATAACACGATATTCAACTTCAGCAGATGAACGAGAAACAACCGTTTGCTTCTTGCTTTTCTAAGGAATAAGAGAATTATTGAGGAAAAGGCAAAAATCCGTAGTGGACTTACAGTTCATAGAGTGATCGGCCCAGTTAGCTTTAGAATAAGCCCTGAGTGCCATAGAGGAGGAGGAGGAGAGTAACAAACTCTGGTGTAGAGTACCTTGAAGATACCAAAGAATATGAAAAATTGCAGTCCAGTGAACAGTGGTGGGTGTGGTAACAAATTGACTAACAACATGAATAACATAGGAGATATTCGGATGAGTGACTATAAGATATACTAAATTTCCAACAATAGCGCGATAAAGTGTAGGGTCAGACAGGGAAGTACCATCAGAAGAAGAGTAATGAACATTGAGCTCTAAAGGTATTTCAACTGGCTGATTATTTGATAAACGAGCTCATTGAATAACATCTGAAGCATACTTGGACTGAGAAAGAAGATAGCCTTTAGGAGAGGAAACAATCTCAATACCTAAGAAATATCTAAGCTGCTCTAAATATTTTCTCTCAAAATGGTCTTGCAATTGGGTTGTCAATAAGCATATGCCAGCAATGTCGTCATCCGTAATAATTATACGATCAACACATAGTAAGAATAATAGAACCTGAGGAAGTAGACTATAAAAAGATAGCAGAATCATGGTCACTGACGTGAAAATTCAAATAACAAATAATTGAAGAAAATTTGGCAAACCATGTCCTAAGAGTCTGTTTAAGGCCATATAAAGCTCGATGAAGTCGACATATTTGATCAGGACTATGAGACAATTCAGGAGGAGTCATAAAAACCTCTTCACTTGAATCTCTATGAAGAAATACATTTTTCACATTCATCTGAGACAAATATCATTAGCGAATGGTAGTAATTGTAATCACTGTGCGAACAGTGGTCATCTTCGCAACAGGGTTAAAAGTTTCATCATAGTCTATACCATACTCCTAAGCAAAACTCTTGGCCACTAGCCGAGCTTTATACCGTTCTACAGACCATCAGACTTGGTTTTATCTTATAAACGCACCAATAACCAATGGTACTTTTACGAGGTGGTAAAGACACTAGCTCCCAAGCTTTGGTCTTATGTAAGGCAGACAACTCCTCATCCATAGTCTGTTTTCAAAGTGGATCAAGCAAAACCTCCTTGTAGGATTTGGGTTCATATAGAGAGTGAATAGAAGTAAAGAAAGAACAAAAATCAAGAGAATAACAAATGTTAATCCAATTAAACCAGTCTGGACATTTGCGAGAGCGCTGAGGATAGCGTGAAGTATGATCCACAATGTCTGAACCTGATTAGATGGTAGGAGGAAAGTGAGAACGTACCGTATCTGTAGAGGAGATAGTTGGAGTCTTACAAACATGTGTATGTACAATTGGGGGACGACTGATGTGTAACTCATTAGAGGAAGGTACATTAGAAATAATTATATCACCAATATAAGTGTCAGAGGGAATATCATTCGAAAATAGGTCAATGTAAATGAGATCAAATTTATGCAAATGTGTAGAACTAGATGGAATAGAAAGAAGGGAATATGTTCTATGAAAACAACATGACGAGAGACAGAGTTTGTGTAAAACAGGATCATAGCAACGATATCCCTTTTGACCCTCATCATAACTTAGAAAAACACATAAAGTTGAATAAACAGAGAGTTTAGTATGAAGAGCACTAGGAAACAACACAAAACAAGTGCATCCAAACATAGTTGTCAAATCGTGTATCGGAAGGCATATAGTTTTTTAAAAATAGTGTATCGTATCGTAAGATACGTGTAATTTTAATTTTTAAATAATTATTAATAAAATATATGTATATACCTTTATAAAATAGTCATATACTCATAATAACATAGTGTTTCATTAATATTCCATCAATCATACTTGTCAAATCGTGTATCGGAAGGTGTATCATTTTTTAAAAATAGTGTATCATATCGTATCGTGTATCGTAAGATACGTGTAATTTTAATTTTTAAATAATTATTAATAAAATATATGTATATACCTTTATAAAAAAGTCATAGACTTATAATAATATAGTGTTTCATTAACATTCTACCAACTCTTCAAGTTTTCAACATAGTTCAGTGATATCAAAGTACAAAGACCTCTAATTCAAACTTCTAACATCAACTGTTTGAACAACTTTAATATTAATTAGAAATTTTGAATTTAATTGAACAATATTAATATTAGACTTTATTTATTTTTTTAAAATTATAATAACTGAAAACGATGTTGCTTCACTGGCTAGTATTTTTAAAATAAGTTTTAGAGTAAAACAATGTCATTTTAATCCCAAAAAATCAAAAAAAAAAAAAAACAGAATTGTCACGTATCGTACATATCGGGTGTATTATACCGTATCGCGTATCGTATCGATACGGTACAAAAACGATACAGAGACATGATACATATCGTTTTTCAAGTATATCGTGACGTATCATACAATACTAATAACTATGCCACCAACTATTCAAGTTTTCAACATAGTTCAGTAATATTAAAATACAAAGACCTCTAATTCAAACTTCTAACATCAACTATTTGAACAACTTTAATATTAATCAGGAATTTTAAATTTAATTGAACAACATTAACATTAGACTTTATTTATTTTTTTAAAATTATAACTACTGAAACGACGTTGTTTTACTAGCTAGTGATTTTAAAATTAGTGCTAGAGTAAAATAATGTCATTTTAATCCCCAAAAATCAAAAAAAAAAAAAAATAGAATCGTCACGTATCAGGTGTATCGTATCGCGTATCGTACGATATGGTACAAAAACGATACAAAGACACGATACGTATGATTTTTCAGGTGTATCGTGACGTATCGTACAATACTAATAACTATGCATCCAAATACACATAAAGAGAAATAATTAGGTGCTAACCACATAGTTTTTCAAATGAAGAAATTCCAAAGGTGATGACAGTAGGAATGAAATCAATCAGATGGATCGCAGTAAGAACTATTTTCCTTCAAAAAGAACTTGGGACATTTAATAACAACAAGAGAGAGCGTGCGGTCTCCATAATATGTCGGTGTTTGCGTTCTGCTACACCATTTTGTTCAGGTGTGTTAGTACAAAAGGATTGACAAACAGTGCCATTAGATTTTAATAGATCACAAAAGAATTAAAAAAATATTCTTCTCTTTGGTCACATCGAAAATATTTAATAACAGATGAATATATAGTACGTATTATAGCATGAAAAACAATGAATACATAAAAGAATTCAGAACGATGCTTCATGAGATATACCCAACAATATCTGGTATAATCATCCATAAAGGATACATAATATGTAGACTCTCCTTTTGTGAAAATAGGAACAGGCCCCCAGACATCAGAATGAACAAGGTCAAACGGTGCAAGAAAGCCAGTAAGACTTTTAGTAAAAGGTAATGTAGTAAACTTAGCTAACTTGTATCTACTACAACTAGAAATGTCATGGCACTCAAATTACCCAAACTACCAGTGGAGGTTAAATATTTCAAACGAGAATGAGAAACATGATCCAGACGAGAATGCCATAAGTAAAAATTAGAAGATTGTGGACTCAAATGAAAAGATGACAAATCAACAGTAGAAGCTGCAGTATTTGGAATATGTAGCTCGTCCAATACATACAATCCTCTCTTTCTACTACTTGTCCCAATTAGTTTCTTAGAATGTGGATCCTGCACAACACAATCAGAAGAAGAAAATTGAATTGAAAATTCAGAATCAAATAATTGACTGACTGACTGAAATCAAATTCAAAGTAAGCTGAGGGATATAATAGACATCTGAAAGTATATAGTAAGGAGAAATAATAGCCCCGACACCAGCCAAACACATTTGACTGCCATTTGCTGCAAGTACAGATATAGATGGAGGAGAGAAAGTTGATGCAAATAAAGAAAAATCATTGGTCATATGATGTGTAGCACCTGAGTTGAAAACCCAAGCAGTTCGAGGTTATATTGAAGGGCCCGAAGTGAATGAACTTACTGAAGAGGAGACTGAGAGATCATTAGATTGCTGGAGTGAGAGGATTTTTTGCAACTGATCAACAATTGTAGTCATACTGGGAGTTGATGTCCCAAAAGTGGCCTGAAGAGAAGTAAAATCGCCGTTTACCATATTCTAAATGAAAAGTGTTCAAATCCAGCACAAAACAACAAGCCCAACACAAATGTATCAAAAATACTTGGTGGCAGCCCAAATTCAATACAAAATCAGCAAGCCCAAACCAAATCTAACACAAATCAACAAGCCCAACAGATCAATACTCAAAATAGCAAATAATGACCCAAAAGAGCAAAAGAGCCTAGTAAAACAACAAGACAACCAACAACAATACCCAATAAACCAAAGCCTAAGTCCTCAGCAAAACAATAGTCAACAATACCAGCAAATAAGAAGCCCAAAAACCCAAAAGTCAAAATTCAAGCATAGTAGAAGAAAAATAGCCAAACCAGCAGTAGTCCCAAACCAGCAGTAGCCCAAACCAACAACAACACAAATCATCAAGAGCCCAAAGCAAATAAGACCCAAAGAATTAGGCCAAACCAACACTAGCCTAACAAAGTAACAACCCAACCAGCAAGAGCCCAAAGTATATAAGAACCAAAGAATTGGTTCTTGTCTACAAAATCAGCGTCTTGTCTTTTTCATCTTCTATTGGGAAGATGGCACAACAGAGGAAGAGAAAGCACAGAACCAAACTTCTGAAAATCAACAAGAACAATTGATAAAGAATCAAGTCGAGGAAGACCTCTTGGGGGTGATTCGAAGCAACTTCGAAACAAAGAATAGAAAAAAAAAATGCAGCAAAGAAACATCCACCAATTGGAGCAGAAACGCAGCAAAGAATAGCAAATTAGTTTGATATTTGTTTGAACAGAGACGCAGCAACGCAACAAAGAATAATGAATAGCGAACAGGGACCTAGCAATCCAGAACAACAGACAACGATGTGATGAACCAGAACTCTAATGCTCCAAATCTTGGAAAGTGAGAATTTAAGCAAGATTTGCGGACAGTGAGAATGACATCCTTCGTTGATCCTCTGATTTTGTTTTTCTTCAACTGGGTTACTCTAATCGTGGGATCGAAACATACTCTGATACCATGTTAACTTTGATTAATCATAGAAAAGATAAGAGAAAGAAGAAGGAATATTATTGAGGCTCAATTAACTGGTATAACATAATGGAAAAGTACATACAAGAGGTATTTATATAGTAAGACAACATAAAAGAAAAACACAAATGACTAAGCTATCTCTAAGTCTAAATATGCTAACTACTTTAATAGATCCAACAAAAAGCCAAAAGTACTTTGGAAGAAACTTAATGTGAAACTTCCTATCCCACATTGGCAAAGTATTGAAACCAAATACACTTTTTGTGCATGTAAGACTTACCTCAGCCGCCTTTACCTAACATGGGACATGGCACATGCTTAACAGTTGTGTATTGTCTGTTGTTTTTGGAAGGCAAATAAGAAGACAAAAGGGGCTGCCGGTTGGTTTAAGTTTTGAACCTGCTAATTTTAAGAGTTGTCGGTTTATCGATTTTGGCGGTTTGATTATACCAGTGGTCTTTTTAGTGAACTGGACTGTCGAAGGATCAGGTTTACTGGCCCGATTCAAATTCGGTTCTAATAATAGTGGCTGGATCTCTAAGAATTGTGATGAAAAAGAAAATAATAAAATAGGTCAAAAAGTTGCTACGTTGGAAAAAGAACAGATCCCCACTCAAAAGCATAAGGGTGTATTTATAGTAAAGTAGTGTTGGTACAAGTAAAGACGAAGTAGGACTCATGGTTCAAAGTATCGGCCGATACCGATAAGAGTCGACCGAGTCGTATCTGTCTCAACACTTTTGGAGACGATACCGTTATACAATACGTATAAATTCCGAGTATTGCATAACTTGACCGAGTCTTGCATAACTATGCCGAGTCATCCGAGTTGTATCTGAGTAGTCGAAATATCGTCACTGAATTAACCGATATGGTTCCACGATATCATGATATATTCTGAATTTCTCATCATGTTCATCTAAATTGTATCGCCTGATGCCGTACCACGATCTTACGACCAATGTGTCTCAGAACTTTCCGAGTTGATGGTCGATATTGAGACCTTGAACCATGGTAGGACTCTCAGACTGTTTGTAATTCTTCACTTGGCGATATCAATCCACAAAGAGTATGGATCGATCCCCTAAAGTTTATGGTCTAATTCCAAGAACAAGCAAGGATGATGAGATAATGGCTTATGGGATCATGGAACTTTGGGTCAAGAGATAATGAGATAATGGAATTTTGGCTCATGGGAAATTTGGATCTATCCCATAAAGTAGGGATCGATCCTATATTTTCACTGATCCCTCCAAAGTCTCTGTCAAATCCTTATGCTCCTTGTGGATCGATCCTCTCCAATTGTGGATTGATCCTTCACAACTTTCTTAACTTCCTTTTTCTACTATTAATTCTCCAGATCAATCATTCAATCCAAGGGATTGATTCCTTGTCATGCACATCGTTCAATACTATGCAATTTTACGTCATTTGCCAGTAAAATATCAATAAACATCCAACAAGCATAAAATAGATAATGACATTATAATTAGTATGATTAACAAGAAATCAATGTAAATCATTAATACTAATGTACCAAAATATTACACTTTTCACGACTAATCACCATGTGTAGCTTTTTCTTTATTTTTTTCAGGTAGCTGCTTTATGTTTTTGGCATAGACATGAAAAAATTCCCTTTGAAACCAGCTTTAGCTCTTAAGTTTCTGTGTGGTTATTTATTAGTTTATCTTTCCACCTTCATACTTCAAAGTATTGATTGAAATCCCTTCTACAGATTTGCAATTCTTGCAACCCGTATGGAGCAGTACATCCAGGGACAATCCAGGGATTTGGTTGATCAGGCATATGCAAAATTTGTGAGTACTTTCCTCCCTGAAGCATTTTCTTTATTGAATTGATGTGTTTTTATTCTTGTCGTAATGGAAAGTACCGTAATAAAACAATGTGACATGATTCTAACGCCAACTTGGCTAAAAAGTTTTGCATTAAGCCAATTCTCAAATTGACTTTATACCAGAGTATAAAGGGGTAGAAAATGTACCTTTTTTTTGTCTATAAGCTTTCGAAAGGAATGCATAGAGCTTGTGCAATGTGAAAATAAAAAGACCGGGAAATTGAGTTAGTGTGAATCTGATGGTGTATTAAACAAGCATTTTGTTCACATTGGGTACTTCACCCATGTAGTTGAAGCCATGGAATTTACTAACTCTTTTGGTTGGTGGCCCCGTGCAATCGTGCTTGTCCTAGAATGTGATTCTTCTTTGTAAGATAGTTCTTCATTCAGCAATTCTTTTTCTAGAATTCTCCTTGTAAGTGTTCTGAGTAGCAACACTCTGTTTGCATATATGATCTTAATGAGGAGCTTTTATTCAGTTTCTGGAACTAATATTTTTTCTGGAAAAAACTTGTTTTGAATCATAGCCTTCAGAAAGGAATGATAATGCGTTTGGACAAAAAATTCAAAAGAAAGAAAGTTGTTGGGTGTAATTGACTTGTACGAATGAATAATTGCAGCTGATTGCTTTTCTCCTGAGAGACAAAGATGGTATACAGCAGCAAGCGATATGTTTCAGGACTGCCTGTCCAAGAAATCCTAAGCTGGATAGGATTTGAATTTTAACTGGAAGAACAGCCTGAATTTCACATCACCAAACCCTAGTCAGCAAGCTAAGCACAACAGTAATTCTTTGGTAGTTCAAAACCCTAGTCAGCTTGTTCAATGTGTTGTTGTCTATTGCTAGCATCACTTTGACTGTAGAGTAGTTAGAGTGTGGCAATTTTTTAATGACAAAATGAGGCTTCTGGACTAACCATGAGCCACTTGTTCGTTCGAAAATTGAAACAATCTGCGACTATTGCAGTTAGGCATTGTGTTAACAAATCTGGAGGACTGTAATTTCTTTGTTTTTCCAACATACTGCATTCAGGTAATTATTGAATGGAGATCATAGTAAAAATTCTTTTTTATTAGAATTCTTACTTTTGAAAGTTACCTTTTGCTTTGGTTATGAAAAGATCTATGAATATGAGCCTTATCATGGGGACCAATGGTGAATTGCATGGATAGTCAATCACGACCACATGGTGTCAAGGTTGAGAGCAGTCATTCTATGCAAAAATAGGTCTAAAGGTTAGGTTAATACACAGTTTAACTTATAACACTGCACTGTGAAGTAACTCGTCTAACTTATTTTGTTATTTATACCATTAGTGTGCTTTATAGATTGTAGATTTCTTGTGGCTTATTTACAACATGGTTTAAGCTTAAATGCTGGAGCGAATTGTTTTGTAGGTTACCATAATGTTTGTGACATTGGACAATATTTCCAAGGCAGACCCCAAATATGCTGATATTGTGCTTCTAGAGAATTATGCTGCATTTCAGAATAGGTACGTATAATGTATGAAGCTACATCTATTTACCATCTTATATTGGATTACTAGTTAATTACCATCGTAGTTTCTTTTTGGCCAGTGAATGTTTTTGACCCTTATGATCTTCAACATGCTAATTAGAAGCAGTTTGATGCAGTCTCTATGACCTGGCAAATGTTGTGCCCACTTTAGCGAAATTTTATCACCAAGCTAGTGAAGCTTATGAACAAGCTTGCACCCGTCATATCAGCATGATCATATATTATGTCAGTAATCCAATTTTGATGCTTTATGTTCCCGTTTCCTATATGCCAACTTCAGTACATTTGCGTTTTAATTATTATTTTTGCAGCAATTTGAACGGCTTTTTCAGTTTGCCCGAAGAATTGAGGATTTGATGTTTACAATCACACCGGAAGAGGTTAGTGCCTGGGTGCTTGTGTCTCCTTCATGAAAAATATGAGTATATTGTCAGATAACTTCTTAGAATGCCTCAAGTGTCCTTAAGCAAGGGTGCTATTGCATCACATTTGAATTTTTGCTGTTTCCACGTCATTACTGATAATAGGACTGGAACTATATAGCTAGGGCTTCTGCTCGTTGTCTTTATGATTGGTCTAGATTAAACTAAAATGCATTTTTAGATTAAAAATGTATGTGCATCGTCTAATCTCGTAACCTCTTGGTCTAAAATTATCATTATAAAGTTAAAGTACATGGGAAATGTGCCTCTAGTGCCTCTTATTTGAAAAATGCCAGTTCATAATTGTCATAAGCGCAAATATCTTATATATTTTAATATTATTGTTATCGGAAGCCTATATATCTGCTTTTTTTGACTACATTTTCTTAAGCGATATTATGTTCTTGGGTATGACTTGGTACCTTTCAAATTCAAATGCTTTGTCAACTAACTACTTCCGAGCGTGATGGAAGTAATTGACACCAATGATATTTTGAATAAGATTGAAAATTTGAAATATTTGGAAGATCTTAGTTGCAGAAGAAATATGAGTTACTCATTCTGTTTATCTTTTGTGTTATTTTTGTTGTTTGGTCCAGTTTTCTACTAAATAATACCTATTATTAAGAGAAAAGAACACAAGAAAAACAGGAAGAAATGACAAACTTGTGTGCAATTTTGCTAGGGGCCTGAACATTCCCAATAACCATTTTTGATGTCATGAGTTTTGGTTTGGGTAACAAATTTTCATTTCCCTTTTCTGTCAAATTTCCCCCCTTTATTTCTTTGTTTGTTTTTGTTTCTTTTGTTTTTTCCCTCTCTTTCTTTCTGGGAGAATTAGTTGGTATAATTCTTCTAGGGGCATACTGGCTTTAGGTATGACAATCGTTGTTACTGTCACATCATCTCCAATATGAAAAATTTTCAGTGTATATAACACACCAAGTGGTGTGCGCAGCACCCAGTAAAAAACTGGCACAATACTGGCTTGTCAGACACACAAGTTGGTGTTTTCAACAAAAAAAAAAAAATTCTGAAAAATTCACAACTGGCAACAATTCATTGGGAATGGACAATAATTTATGTGTGATGTACAACTCCTAGCTCTGGCTCCTGGTGTGTATAACACAGAATAATTTTTCGTCCAATATATGCCGTATGACGTGTAGTAAAGATTCTACTCTTAGGGCTAATACTATTTCACTTTACATATTTCAGATCCCATTCCAGATAGGACTATCGAAAATGGATCTTCGAAAGGTGGTGAAATCCAGTTTATCTGGGGTAAGTCGGTTGAACCTTCCAAATATGCATTGTTTATTTCCAGAAATGCTTTAGTAACACAATATTTATTGTACAGGTTGACAAATCCATCAGTGCAATGTATAAGAAATTGCAGAAGAACTTGACCTCGGAAGAACTCTTGCCTTCCCTATGGGATAAATGCAAGGTATTTTGGGTCTTCCTAGTAGCACGTTTGAAGTTCATTGGAATTCTAAAGTTCTGGCAATTTGGAAATTGAATGACTGTATCATCCTCTGATGAAGAACTTGATTGGAGAAAATCAAAAAGAAAACACAGAACCAGGATTTATTTTTTGGTGCAATAGCCTTATCCAAAAAATATCGGTACCTTAATGGACAATAGTTCTGATGTCATATTTCTTGACAATAAATCTGGTGAGAAAGTCAGCTCCAAGTATTTTAATTTTTATTTTCCAAGGGAGTATAGACAGCTTTGAATTTGCCTCTTTTATTCTATTTGAATTCGACTTAATGGTTAACAATCTTTGCTATGCACAATTGATTGACACTAAGAGTTAAAGAATTTCTTGTTCGAATAATTGACAGAAGGAATTTCTGGACAAGTACGATAGCTTTGCACAACTTGTTGCCAAGATTTACCCCAACGAGACCATTCCATCGACAGAAGAAATGAGAGAGCTTTTGGCATCCATGTAGAGAGAGACAGTTGTGCTTGTAAATCTTCAGGAGTTCATTTCAGAGTTCAGATTTGTTTTAGTCTGCTGTAAGCAATTTTCCCATATCTTCTTGTTTTTTCATTGTATTGGAAGAAGTAACATTGTACCATTTATGCATCATGGGTGTTGTTACCTTTTTGCTTATTCGAGGTTTGTTGCATTTGTTTTTTTTTCCCATTTTTAAATGAAGATGGGTGGACACGTACCAGGAAAGCCTTGCTATTTTCGGCCCATTAGCTTGTATTGGTTTAGTCATTTAGATAGTGACTTGCGTTTTTTTAGCTATGCATTACACACCTCATCGTGGTCTTAGTTTGGAACAAGGGACTGGTTAAAACTTCAGGATCAACTTGTTCTTTCATAATCTAGTGTCACAGGTATGTATGTGCCTTGGACCTCCTTCATTTTTATTTTTTTCTTTCCAAATTTTGTATTGTTTTTGAATTTCAAGGGGCCTAAGTATCTACCTGTAGCCACAATGATGGGCCAAGTTGGTCCATAATCTATTAGAATCTATTACCAAAATAAGGCAAAATTTAAACTTAAATACCAATCTACAGTCGTTTTAAACATATTTATCAAACTATGATTGTTTTAAAAACGGAAGTATGAAATCCGATTTCATTTAACAGCGGACTTAGAAAAAACGATTTCGTAGTGTAAAGTGGACTTACCAAGTCCGACTTCAATGTAAAGCAGACTTGTTATATTTAGTACCCTTTAGCAAAATACAAGCAAGGTTTCCACCCAAACCCACCAGCTGGGTCATCTGCAGAGACGTCACTCACCAAGCAACTTCGCTGGTGGGGGAGGCAGTTGGTGGAGCTAACCCAGTTAGCATAAGGGAAGTTCATATCATAGCTGTCGCTTGCGTTGGGGTTGGGTGCTAAATCCGGTGGTGGGTAGTATAAATCAGAGTTTCTTGGCCCATCGTTAAGGAAAGAGAACTGATCTTGGAGCTGAAATTCATCAACTAGGTCAGCCTCTCCACGGCCATAAAAAGGAGAAGCAGATGAGTTCATGGTTGAAGACGATGACCTAGTTGTTAAATTACTGATTCCATTACTTGAAGCACCGCCATATGAAATTGAGTTCTGGATCAATATTCGGCTGTGAGATTCGCCCGAGACTGTGAGAGTCCATTCTAAGTTCTAGATTTCAACCGAGTTCTGGAACAATTACGATTTTCTCAAAATTTCTTGGCATTTTTTGTTGATGTAACAATTACGATTTCAACTGAGTTTTGGATCAATTATGATTTCCACTCTCCCTCTCTCTCTTCTCTCTTTTTCTCTACTTGCCAAAAGAGAACATAGCCTAGTCGCTAGGAATTCCCTCAGCTCCTTCACACGCTTAGACTTCTTCTTGAGGTAGAAACTATAACGGATCATTCTTTTCTCATTATCGAAAAAATAAATTTAATGATACTTTCTCAGGAAAAGTGAGTTGTGGGTTTCTAATTTATGAAATTGAGAAAGTCCTCCTGTTTCTGGGTTAGTTTATGAGAACTTGAGAAGACTCAAGAAAATTGAGTTTTGGGTCTATCTGTTTTTGGGTTTCTGATATCTGAAACTGAGAAAGCGGATTTATCATATTTGTTTTTTAATAAAAGCCGCTTTAACAAATCCGCTTTGCTTGAATATAGTTACAGTTTTTTCTTGTTAAAAGTAGATTTGTTAAGTCCGCTTTATCAGTTGAAATCGTAATTGTTACATCCGTTTTTTTAGATAAAATTGTACTTAGTAATTCCGCTTTTAAATGAAATCAGATTTCTCAAGTCCACTTTTAAAACAGTTGTAGTTTGATAAATAAGTTTAAAACAACTGTAAAATAATATTTAAGTTTTATATTTGCCGCACTTTAGTAATAGATTCTAATCTACGAGGCCACCAGGCTTTTAAGCCAGCCCATTGGCCATTAGCTGAGTGCGATAAATTCTAGTTCTTTTTGCACTTTGTACCCTAATTTTTTTTAGTTTTTTATGTTGCAGTTTCAATGAATCAAAGTATTGCAATGTAACATTTTTGTTAGCTTTTGTTATTTTTTATGTCATAAGTCAACAACTTGACATTGACGGAAAAATTAATAGAAAGCTAATAGAAGGATCATATTACAACACTTTTGATATATTGAGGATGTAATATAAGAAATTTAATTTTTAAGGGTACAAAATGATAATCTTAAAAATTTTCAAGATATAAAGGACAATTCATCCTAAATTCACAAATATTTTCCAATGTTAAATCTGAATCTATTATTGAAGCGTTTGACAAATATTCAACTTGAGTAACTCGGATGTCCTCTAGAAAATTTTCCAAAAAAGATTGATTTCACTATCTGGAGAAAGAATTATACTGGCTGCATAATTCATACTTTTTTGGATATTTTATTAAATGAAAAAGGTCTTCTAGGACATGAGATTTTCATCACCGCAGAATTTTAGAGACGGGAGTAACTGTATGTTATCTTATTTTTGCTATGTTAAAAAATTGTTTCAGTGACTCAAATTATTCACGTCAACCCCAAAAAGTAATTTAAGTAGTAATATAGATGAGCTATAAACTCACGTCTACTAAATTTGAATTTTAACAATTTCTTAGAGTTAGACAATAAGAAATTTATCCTTTATGAATACTCTAGTCCTGACATGGATGACCTGTCTTTGATCGAACCGGAGAAAAGTTTAGTCAAGATGCGCATAAGTTAGAGCAGACATCCTTAACCGTTGAACCAAGAAAAAGAAATATTCACGTTTAAGTCACACTAGAACAACTTGTTCGTTACGTCAATCTTGGCTTCCATATTATATCTCATATAACTCCAAAACAATATGGAAGGAAAAAAAATAGAACAATGTATATATAATAATCGAAGGGAAGAAAAAATACCAAAGAACAAACTACCTAAGAAGGAAACAATGTCTAGCTAGTATTATGTACTTTTATCTATGCCTTGTTTGTTCTTGCTCTGTTGTTACAAGTGTGATCTCTTTGCTTTGGCCTTTTGGGCAGTGTAGTCCACATCCAAGCTATTAACAAATATTGGTCTGACTAGGTTTTGCTTCTCTTGTGTGTTAGTAACATATGCAGCAGAGAACTTTGATATCCCTTGGCTACCTATCTGCTGGTAGTGTCACCAGTAGAAAGTCTGGAGAGAAGAAAGATACAAGCTGAGGAAACAAAGACAGCTCCAGCAAAACAAGCAAGATCCAACCCAGTAACCAAAGGTATACTCTTGAATTTCTCCAACATCCCTACTTGAAGTATCATCATCATAGCTTGCCCAATGTTTGACTTGGCTTGCATAACTGACTGGGTTCCTACCCATGATGGCAGTGCCTGAAAGAAAATTTAGAATATATTTAGAGATCTTCATATATGCTGCCAAACTGATATTTATTTTATCTATTTGGAAAAGCAATCTAGTTGATGAGATTTTTGTCACTTGAGAGATCTTGGGAGATTTGATTTTACATTGTCTTGCCCCATGTGTGGAGAGGTGGTTTGCTTAACTCAAATGTCAAATCCATGACTTGATTGATGGTCACAATATGGATATATTTTACCGATGCGCTAAAAACCCAAACTTTATACAAATTAAATGTAATTTGTGCATGAAAAATTTAGGTATAAGAGAACAGCTTCACCTTGAGATAGAAAAGCCCAAACAAATTTGACCCTGGAAGCTGAGACCCTTTTCCTTTCGATCCCACAAACATGACATGCAATGCCATCCCAAAAACAAGCATTGCAGTTCCTACCAGAAACATATCTGCACCACAAATTCACCTATTTCATATTAGCTATAATGTCAACTTGCAAAACGTGAATTCAGAGAGAGAGAGAGAGAGAGAGAGAGAGAGAGAGAGAGAATACCTATGGATTCAATTAGTAGCTGTATCACATGTGCTTGATCTGATCTTTCTGAAAGTGCATGGAAATACTGCAAATATGACTCTACAATCATAAAAGAACCCTGAAATAAAAATGTCACATATGTATGTTATACCTCTGGTGAACACAAAATCTCAAGTGCTTATTATAAGTTAATGTACGAGAAATCATCAGAATGTTCATAGTTTAAGGCTATGTTTACCTCTACAAAGCACAAAACTGAACCAAGCAAGGATCCTGCAACTGCCAACATTGTAAAGAATCGGCAGTCAATTATAACCTGTACAGTCAAAAAGTCAGAGAGTTTAGAACTTTAGATGATCAGCTGTAAATATTTTTTTCCTTCTATATGGTTCATGGGTTTTTCCTTTGACAACAAGAGTATTTTTTTTTTTTTTTTTTGGTTCAATCGTTGTGAGAGTTTGAGCTAGCTTATGCATACTTCTATTGATCTCTTCTCCAATCTTATAAAAAATTAGTTATTTAAGTTAGAATTAAATTATTTATAAAAAATAAATTTATCTGATTCAAAAATAATGTTTTTAATCGAACTAAGATATAATATCCACAGATACTTTGAACTACCGGCCACAATTAGTGTTTAGGAGTTGAATATAATTGAAAGGCAAGATTTTGAAGTACCTTTTCAATGAACATCTGAACAAGTAACTTCCATGGCCTTCGTTTCGTAACCACCTTGAAGCTATGCAGCACCAAAGCTTTAACATTTGCCAACAGTAACGTCAGATCTACTACTCCTCCACCCGTCCGAGGTTCCGAGGTTATCACCACCACCCTCTCAGAAACAGCCGCCGGTGCCTTTACCGCCACCATCGGTTTCTTCTGTCCGTCCCCATTTCTCTCTCCAGTGAAACCCACCTTGTTCAGACACATCAGTTTCATCGTCGTCGATGACATTGAGGGATTACTCGGATTTGAGAAAGATGAGGATGTACCAAGACCCACTGGTCTAGACATTCTTAGCAATCTAACAGCTGCCATTGTTGATGATGTTGAGTTTGGCTTGTTGGAAGTCTGAGATTATATTGGTAAGTTGGAATGGTAGATTGGGGTGTCTATATATATATATATATATATATGATTATACGCACATGTATCTATAGGCGGCGGAGGAGAGAGAAGATTCGAGGCATGTTAGCTGAGCTTGTCTTTAAGCTGGTAGGAATGCTGTCTGTCTCTTCACTTTTTTTTTTCCTAAGAATTTGTGACTATCTCGTGGCAATTCTTTCTGAGACCAGCGTGTGGGCCCAGTGTAGTTGTGAGCCGGACACGTGTCAGTCCGTAGTTTTATTCTGACTATTACTATTGGGACTTTCTTCTCCGTCGCTGGCTTGTTCGACTCGTGAGGAGGAAGAAATCTTGAATTTGATTCTTTTTGCTTTCTTTCTACGGAGGGCGTTGTTTGGAACGTGGTCGGTGTTTTCGTGCACCAGCGGGAAGAGCACGTGCAAATACAGGAGGGACACAAGGTGTAGGGCAATTCAACGGTGCCAAATTTTTTCCCTTTTTATCATGTGTTTAGTTTTTGTATCAGCTATTTTTTTGAGCTTGAACTGACAATTGATGACCGTCCCTTAAGGGTGCCAGAAATATCCTGATACCTCTAGTCTTTTGCTTGCAAGATTGGCAGGCTTGATTATTAAATTGTTTTAAAAATATTTATTAAAAGTTATTATTTTTTAAAATTAAATTACAACTTTTAAAGGTAGAAACATACAGTGTTCGATCATAAAATAGGGCTAATCTCAAATTGCACTCTAAAAGATGATTCAAATCTTAATTGCACCCTCAAAGTTTATAAATATCAATTTACACTCTGAAAAATATAAATTTATATCAGTTTACAATAGGGGTTAACTACCGTATATTTCGCCATTAAAAAAGTTTGGTCTAATTGCAAATTGCACCTTCAAATTTAAATATTTTACATTTATAATCCAAAAAAAAAAATCATCCATTAATACCCGTTATTTTCTTGTTGAGCCAATTGTATTTGTGTTGTATATTTCACATTTATGATAATTCATATAATACTATTTAAAATACCTATTTTTTACCTACAATACTCATTAAAATAGCTATTTTATGTTTAAAGTTAGATACGACACGACACAATTGAGAGCTATTTAATGAGCATTAATGAATTTAATTCTTTTTGGATCATAAATGTAAAATATTTAAACTTTTGAGTGTGTAATTTATAATTAGCTCAAATTTTTTTAATGGAAAAAATGGACGATAGTTAACTCCAGGTGTACATTAATACGAATTTATGTCTTTCAGAGTGCAAATTAATATCTTTAAACTTTGAAAGTGTAAATTAAGATTCGAGAGTGATCTTTCAGGGTACAAATTGAGATTAACCCCATAAAATATGGTAATAGATTATAAATATCTCTTAATTAGTTGTTATTTTATTTTTGAAAAATGTAACTTTGACCTTTTGGAAGTTGTAATTTTTATAATTAATTATAATTTTTTATGATGGATCACATTTTTTTGTAATTATAATTTATATTTTAAAAAATTATAATTTAATTTTTGAAAAATTATAAATTTTGGAGAGTATGGATATCCGTCACAAGAAGCTTCAGCAGTGGACGGAGTCCGTTGTCAACGGACTGGACCAGCCCGGATCAGACTATTTGGGGCCATAGTCTGTGGGTCACGCTGCATGTCAGTCACAGTGACGGACTCAAGCTATCCTAATAAGCTCTTACGGGTTTCCATCGAGTAGTGGGCTATTCGCTGACTTATAAGTTTTATTGCGCCATTTTGGTTTTTTATACTTATTAGAAGTTATTTTAAAAAAATTTAAATCATTTTACCACTTAAATAAATTCAAAAATAAAAATTAAAAAATAAAACTTTTACTTATTCAAAACCCGATCACTTTTATATTTGTTTTTTTCTTCCTCACCGTCGTAACTCTCTCCATACCCTCTGCTGTGAACGACTGAAGGCATCTTCCACTCTGGCAACCATCGACGACGATGCCGGAGAGTTAGGTGATCACCGGCAACCGTGACAGCACTATTCTCTCTTGGGCCTTCATTCTTCTGGAGTTATTGGTGATCTCAGCCCATCTCGAACACGTATGAACCACCTATTTTTCATCTTTCATCTTCTATTTTTTTTGAGTTTTCTTAGATTTGTATATCATGTGAAATATATTTGATAGATTTGTCTCTCTCTATTCATCTCTTTATTTACTCTTTTGGGAACCCTAGTTATAATGGATTGCTCATTTCTATAATCTGTTTGATAAAATGTCTCTTAGAAAATTTAGATTTGATTTGTGCTTGTGTGTTAGTTTCTTTCCTTTGACCCGGAGCAGTAGTGAGGGTTATTCAGTGTATAGTTTTTGAAGCTATAAAATGAGGTTCCTCAATTGAGATCATGGTGGAATATGGATATGCCCTCAGCAGCAGAGGATTTTCTCTAGTTACCAGTGTTTTTTTTTGATATGTTCTGTAGGGCCTTAATGTTTGTTATTTATGACACTTTTTGTTCCTAATTAGGAATTTTTTCTCGTGATAACACTCGCCAGAATTATAATACTTATCCTGGTAACAAGAAGTGATTTTTATCGCTTAATGACATTCAAAGTTTTGTACCTATTACTATTGCTTTCCATGAAGATATGCATTGAAGTTGGGTATTTGAGGCTCATTATATAATTATGCCTTTGCTCTGACCTTGTTTCCATTTTTTCAATGGAAGCAGTTGATGAATATTTAGTTTGGTAGCTGCTCTCGATCTGTCTGTTTAGGAAAGATTAGCCAGTTTATAGAGTTATTCTTGTGGTTTCTTTGTGCTCTATGATTGTTTGTACTCTCATGCCTATGCCTTTGATGTAATACTTGCTTCTTTACTCTTGGTGAAAGGGAAAAAGTAAGAGTAATAACAACTGGTTAAAGGTTGGTTCCTTAACCTGAGAATGTTACGAAGAACTGTTGGATATTGCTGAGTTTGTGTTTCGATTTCTACTACTATCTGAATTTTTATGTTATTTTTCTGTTTTGCTATGTTTTGCATTTTGCTGAAGCTATTTTCTTCCTGTTGCTGCATATTTGTTTGCCCATCTACTTATTGGGAGCTGAACTATATACTTATTCTACCCATGACCCATGGGACATCCAAATGGATAGTTAGTAATTGTGGAGTTTGTCTTTAGCCAAGTATTGAATGCACCAAGGCAAATGTCGATATCAATATGTATAAGGCATGTAATCCAAACTCTACACCTTGTCTATTGAACGAGAATATACAAAGAGCATACTAGATTTCGCAATTGTTCAATAATGGCCAGTTTTTTGCTGATTTATAAGATGGTTGCTTCAAAATTGAAGCAGGCCTATAGTGTGACAATAAGTTCATTTATCTTAAACTTAAATTTGGGAACTTAAGAGAACCCATAAGTCATAGCATAAACTGGTTGAGAACATTTTATATATATGGGAAGTGAGACCCTTTTGATAATTACACAAAAAAGTAAGGTTCCATGTTTAAAGAAAGTAGGGAGCTTCTTGTAGTTGTACTGCTTTTATTCTTCTTCAGAACAAGCAATCTTCACAACCACCAGTTCCCCAAAAAAAAAAAAAATGGAACAGAGACAAAGTACTTGCAGTTTTGGTCTTGTATTCTTCATCCTCTCCACTCTCTTTCTCTTCTGCTATCTTTCACTGGATCTGTTGTAGCTTACAAGAACTATACTGTTTGTGACTCATTGGGTTGTTTTGACAATCTTAAAAAGCCTAGTGTTAATTACCAGAATTTTTTGAACTAGATTTAGTGATACAATTCTCGATGTTAATGGCATAGATGTGAATCATGAGATTGCGACTGAAAAGAATACAAGGAGTTGAAAAGTGGATTATTATATTCCTCCAAGTGTACCAACAATAGGATGAATTTCCAAAAACTACCTTAATTTTTAAATTTTATTCCTTTTTGAGAGCAGTTTTTAATTTATTTATAATTTTGTCTTAATCTTTGTAAAATCATGATTTTAATGCACAAGGAACTTTTTACTTTGGACTGTGTCAGTCAATGGAAGCATTTTGCTTCTTTGACAAGTGAGCAAAGACAGGTAGCTTACCCACATTGCTTGGAGTTAATTTTTCAATTTTATTCAAGTTAGTTATTATTATACACGTTGTGCTAACAATTATATAAGGCTTCATAGCATCAGAGACGTATTATTTGCAAAATATGTTAATGAAGACGTGGAGTTAGAGGAAGAATGTAAACCAAACTACTTTTGAAGAGGATACTGATTTGTCATATATAAATCCAATGTATAAGAAGAGAGAACATATTGCTTCAGTAGTTCTAAGGGACAATCAAGCATGATTTTTGATTGTATTTACTATTAACATATGTTTTGCGACTTTAGTATGTCATTGAAATAGTTGGACTATGTAGTTTTTTCGTATGATACATTTATTAATATGATATTTTTGTGTATGATATATATTGTATAATTATATGTATAGTGTATGTTTGTATATGTGCATTCAATATTATTAACAATTGTGACACAAATAAGTGTTTTCACATCCAAACGTACTTTTTATAAAATACATTAATTTAAGTATTTTAAATTTTGAATATGAAAACAATATTTATTTAATAAAAGTGTTTTTCTTATAAACACCTTTGATAAACATTTATTAAAAAATTATTTTTTAGATTTCATTAGTCATTTCAAACACACTCTGAATATGTTTTATATAGTTTCTCAAGCAAACAATGTTTAGATTGCTGACAATTTTATATCATGAACTTGTCACATAATATTTAAATATGGACAAAATTTTTTTTGGATAACTCTTGATCAATTTTTTATTTATATTTTGGTTAAATAAGTACTTAAATTATATAGTTTTAATGATAAATTATCTAAATTTTGGTCAAAAGTTGCTCATATTACATATTTTTTTGTCAAAAATTATCCAAATTTTGTTTAAGAACTATTACAATTATTTTTTAATCTATATTTAGGTATTACGTGTCAAATTTATGATAAAAAATGTTGGCAGTCTGCACATTGTTTGCTCGAAGAATCATTTAGAAATATATTTAATATTTTAGGGATCAAAATGATTCAATTGAAATATTGAGAATTAAAATGAGACAAATCCTATACTTTATAGACTTATAGTGTAATTAACCCAAAAAATTATACATGTTTACAATTGAAAACCATTTCCTAATCTCCATTAAACCATTTCGTATTGGCTACGTGATATCGTTTGAAAAAAAAATGGTGAAATAATGATTCTAATTTTTATAAAATAATTTAATGAATTGTTTAATTAACAATCAATGACATATGGTATTGTGGTATTTCCCTTTATTCTTGGGTTGCTCTACCATCCTGAAAGCGTCAGCAACCCGTTTCACATATAATTCTCAAACATGCTAGCTAGCAATCAATGGACTGCTTCACTATTGCTTGTCTCTAGTTGTAGAGAGAGATGAAATCCACAATATGATTGCGGTAGCAAATCCCAATGTGGGCTCAATCCCAACAATTCCAACTCGCACTCGTTTAAAGAGAGAGACCCATCCTCGCTCTTTCGTTTTCATCTCAAATTGGAATCAAGTCTTTGATTTGAACAAATCGGAGGCGACTTCAGTAATCACCCTTGAAGCCAAACGACGGTAAATTTCTCTTCCTTCTTTCACGCGTTTTGACAAACGCCTTGTGTGCATTGTAAATTGCCTCATTGGGTCATTCCAATTACAGGTGTGAGTGTTTTGATTTGCACAAGGAGCTAGTTCCGTATGTTGAGGCATGGTCTTGGCAAAAATCCATTGTTGAAGAGAGGAAAACATTGGCTCAACGGAATGAAGATCATTCGGACACGCTGATTATTCTTCAACACCACCCTGTCTATACCTTGGGGTCCGGTAGTACTGAAGACCACCTGAATTTTGAGTTAAAGGATGCTCCTTTTGATGTTTATCGAACCGAACGCGGTGGTGAAGTTACATATCATGGGCCTGGTCAGGTAGCGTCATCTACTTTCCTAGCACATTTCTAATAGCTGTTTCCATTACCTCTTGCTTGGAATTTGGCTGCTAATTATATTTGAACGCGGCATGCTAATCTCAATTTGGTGTGTTCCACAGAAGATTTTTGTCACATCACACATTACTGTCATCTAAAATCAAAAAACGTTTAAACCTGATTATATACAAAGAAGGGCTTGAAATTCTGTGATTAAAATCCTTAACTTCGATGTTGTTAGTGTCAAAGAATTCAATGCCATTGAACTATGATTTGCATAGAAAATTAGAGAAAAAACGTAATGAATCACAGGGACGACCTATTTCTTCCTACAAGTATGCTTTTAGGAATATGATAGAGAGCGCAATGTGATTTAGTCTTAAGTTTTTACTTGCACCCTTCTTCCCAAAAGCTGATGTTATGGCTGAGCTAGGTGTAAGATTTAAAGTTTCATTTGTGCAACAATGCATTGAAAGGTTTACCCCCCTTGGTTGTTTCGTGTACCTAACATGTTATGCATCTTTGTTGCAATGTAGCTAGTTATGTACCCTATTATCAATCTCCGTTGTTTCAAGATGGATCTTCATTGGTACCTTAGGACGCTAGAGGAGGTGGTCATTCGTGTTCTTTCATCAACATTTTCGATCAAGGCTTCCCGGCTAGAGGGTTTAACTGGTGTTTGGGTTGGTATGTTTTGCAATCCTTTCACCAATGTTTTTAGTAGTTTATATGGTGTACTTCTGGTTAGTCTAGTATGTTTGCATTAGCTTTAAAGTGTTTACTTCAACATCCCCTCCGGTTTACTGGCTTTGCAAAAGATGGATTGCTGTTGGGGCTCTCTGTACACTTTTCTATATGAACCACAGAAAAGCTAATTCACTCATTATTTACCAGTTCTTGGAATTTGTTAAATACAAGATTGATGTAGAAGAGCATTATCCTATATTTTTTTTCTCTTTTTATAGGTTCAGCAAATTACCATTAAGAACTAATCATGAATTTCAATGGTACCCTCATTTACACCTCTGGTTTAAGCTTCTTTTATGGTAGTAGTATGTTATGTTGATCCTCTGTTTTGTGGAGATAAAACATTAGGAGCCTTACAAATTCACTTGCATCAGGAGATGAGAAACTCGCAGCTATTGGGATACGAGTATCACAGTGGATAGCATATCATGGCTTAGCACTGAATGTTACCACAGATCTAACACCCTTTCAATGGATAGTCCCATGTGGGATACAGGATCGTCGAGTTGGAAGCATAAAAGGGTTGTTGGGAGAATCTTTATCATCTGATGGACATGGACCAACGAATATTTGTCATGACGATGATAACCTGCTGATTGATATCACCCACAAATCTTTGGTCAAGGAGTTCTGTGAAGTTTTCCAAGTTGAACTCTGCCAGAAACCTATACCTATGTTGGAGTTATTATAGATGGAATGATCATTGTCGCTTATTGGAAGTTGATGCAACATATGGCATGCATGTATAATTTCTTATTGACGATGAAGATATTTATCGCTACTGTTTCTCAATGCTCTAATCCTGTAATTTTATTTCTCTTTAACTTAAAAGAGCTTAGACTAAGGGCGTAAAGACCTAACATTCAATCAAAAGGGTAAGAACTGATGGGTCATATTTTGCACCAATGGGGAGGGCCCTACATTATATAGGTGAATTATAATATAATCTAAGATTTATCTTCTCAAGATAACACAAAGTTGACAGCCTTGTTGATTAATCAATTGGGGTCAAACACAGTTTTTGATACCTGCAATGTAAGGCATATCTCAAAAATATATTAACCCAAGGAATATGACCTCTCAATGATAAGTAACTCTCCATTTTCTCTATAAGGATGGGTAAAGACCCAAAGGTAAGGGGCCTCAAGTTTGAGCACCTTCGCTCCATACTCCATAAACACACTTTTTATCATTTTTCTAGCTTTATACACTAACCCATTTATGTATTAATCGTAATATTGACTTAGGCATCAGAGGGATCTCTCTTGACACAACACTGAGAGTCCCTCTAACCTCTAATTTTGCAGCTCACGGACCGAACAATATTCGTAGACCAGGAACACATTTTCAACATTCCAGTGATTGTGCAAATTTTTTCCCGCACAAGAACTCAAAATCATCCTCTACAAGTATTCCACAGAATCCTCTACAAGCATCAGTACTTCTCTGCTACAGGTCTGGAAGGAAAGAGCCTCGGAAGAAATGTCAGCAATGACCAAAGGCAAATCACACCAAGGACTTCAAAAGTCATTATCATTGCAACCAATGCACCATTTCTTTCCAACACTTCTGGGGACAGAGTAGCACCCTTTATTGCAAACTTTAACTGCTCAATGAAATGAGTAGTTTTGCTCAACTGATATAGTTTGTAGACCTGCTAAAATAATTTGTGAAAATTCTTCTCTTTGTTTCGAAGGGAAGAATGCAAACAAATATAGAAGTCATATACCTCAAAAATAATGGGCACGCGAGGCCAACAAGATGACCCTTGCTTGTCAAGAAGTTTTTCAAATACATATTGAGCCAAGTAGCCAACTAAGAGAGGAGCCACTGAAACTAAGGTGGGCAATCCAAGCATTGGCCAAATGACAAAAATAGCAACGAGAGGTGCAAAAACCTTAAAGCCCATAGTGAAGAATGCAGATGTCAAGTATCTTTTGAGACCTGTGATGAGGCACCATTTTTTTGGGCTAAACAGAAGATACAACTTCTGAACGCGGTCGGTAACAAACATAAATGTTGCAAGTCCGATATAGAAGAAGATATCAGAAGCAAATGAGGCAACAATTTCTGCACAATTATACTTGGTAGAGTGAATAATGCATATATTTTAGTAAAAGATACAAGGATAACAGATGAAGATGCGTACAAATCCATAATAACTCACAAAGTAGGTCCTTACAGATATAAAACCTGGCAAGTTGTTCTATCTATTTTATAAGGTAGATCATAGTAGGCAAGTGCCTGAGTCTTGTAATTGATATGCAGAGGTTTAACAGACCAACAAATGTCAATTCTGAGTGTTTGCTCTGGACCATGCAACAAATAGATATAACAAAAACAATAATGTGATAGCATCGCAGCATTTAACCAATTGATATGCACTTCTCTCTACATATGTGTATAACACATGGCCTACGACTATAATTAGCAGCACAATTCCTTATGTTAATTTCTTTCCACACAATTAATCTAGCAGACCAAAAATTATTTTTATCTGGTTCTGAAATTCAATAATGTCAATCACCTAAGTGGCTCTTTAGTAAAGTAAAAAGATTATAGTTTTGCATACTGTCAAAGGCTTCAAAGCTACACTTGGCTCTTTAATCTAGCTAAGGCATGAACTAACTTATCAACATCTCTATGATGTACTTCAACTGTTCAATCACATTAATTTGGTGGGATTTAAGAAATTTTGTTCTCGACTCATGCTCACATAACAAAATCAAAACAAGTAAGCAAGGTTTCTCCAAAGTCTTTCTAAGTAATGTTTAGTCTCCAAAACAAAAGTAAGCATTCACGCACGCATGCACACAAAATGTGTGCACCTATACTTCTACAAATATAAAACTACAGATCGAGATCGTAAGTTATTTCTCCAAGTTCTTCAAGAATTCATATTGCATGTTCATCAGTTTGCTAGCACGCCATAAGCAACAATCTAGCTCAAAATGAGATCTGATAGAAACTACTTTTCACTCAAGTCGCTGAACCAGAATTTGTAGCTTAAAAACCTATTTATGTAGCAAACTTTCATACTTTTGTCGATAAGGAAAATTCAATATTTATTAGAAATTGATAGAAGTTGAATTGACAATCTTAGTACATTATCACAAAGTTACGCAAATAAAAATGATGTCTGCAAGTGATTGACATACTTGGCAAACAAATACATAATTTGCCCAAAAAGATGAGACATGAGAATATATCAAACCAAACAAAGTTGTGTCCCAATTACTAGGTGTACACCACATGAATCATCCTCTGCTATTCCAAGCTATCAGTGGCTATGTGTTCAGTTAAACTTCAAGCAATCATATTACTATCACCATTTCATTTCTTGTAAATTTTGATTTTCCCTTCCCCTAGCATTTTCACCATCACTGATGCACCTATTAAATTTAACCATTATTTCAACCATTTCTACCTAGTTGGAGAAAGTAAATTACTGATTTCTACATTTTGCCATTTGCAGACAGACCTAAATGAAAACTAATTGACCACACACCTGAAAGGATCTCATCACTGAAGAATTCATCAATTGCAGTACCAACGAAGAGCTGCGGAAGGACTAGTGATGAAATCAGGGCAACAGGAGCCCACGCCCAGAGAAACGAGCCGGTGCCTTCTGCGGAAGGAGCTGACACTAATTTACTTTCTTCAACCAACTGATGAGTCACACCAGCAAATGAAATGGAGCTCGATTTCCCACGAAATGGTTCCACCCCATTGCCCCCATTAATCGGCAAACTAGTGTTTTCCTGTCCCTAAGAATCGGATTCCGTAGGATTAGAATTAGAAGCGCATACAATTACTCTTCTCTTCAAGCTCGGTAGTAAAGAGACCTTCCATTTCCTCCCCAAATCAGCCACCAATTTTGCTGAACAAACGTTCTCATTAGACCAAGAAATTTTAAAATATATTGCTATAAAAACTGCACTTTTAACATAAACATACAAAAATGAATGATATAAACATTCTGTTTCATGTCCAAATATTTCCTTTCAAAACGAAGATAAGCCCTTAACTAAGCAAGAGAATCTGTATTACACTCAGCCAAGTAGAGATTTTTGTAGCCTACCATCCATAAATGAAATTTCTAATCAATTTTTTCGAACAAAATTTACCTAGAAACCAAAGATAGCAGAGGCTAAGAAACAAAAGCATACATTTGAATTCATTTTGAAACCGAAGTGTTTATTTTCTCAATCCAACCTTGCTTCTAGATATCTTATTCCTTATCGAATACAAAGGAGAAACTTAAAAAAAAACAAAAGTGAACAGAAAATCAGAGACAAAACAATATATACATGTATTCGATTAAAGAAAGAGAACGATATATCGAAATGAGAATTACTTATAGTCCGATGAGAGAAGGAATTTGATTTGGATAATCTTATGGTTGGGGTGTGATTGTGAAGACAAGAAGGAACTAACTGAAACCCCATTTTCTTTAACCGCCACTTTTTTAGGGTTTTAGCAGAAGTGCTGGTTTTTGAATTCTCTCTCATCTTTTCTGGACAGCCTAAATCCTGAATCGTTCTAGTTTGTGGCATTGGCTCATGGGGGCAAGGAGAAGTCCAGAGATGTAACTCTCGGATCCAAGTTTGGGTGCAGTTGACCCGATTTGTTTTTGGCTAATTATTGGGTTTATTTATTAGTTATGGTTTGCTTGGTGTGATTAACAATTTTTTTTTTTTGAAATATGATTAACAAAACTTGCATCAGCGAGAGAGATGAAAAAACTTGAAGATTGAGGTTAGAATAGAAATAGAAAGAGAAAAAAAGTGGGATTCGAGAGTATGAGAGAGAGAGTTTGAGATGGTATATAAAATAAAATTTAGGGAGTTAATAGTAATTCTGGGTAGTTTAAAATGATTTGAACCGTAAAAATCAAGGTTATTTTTTATATTTTTTGAGATTTGAAATTATTTATATTTTATTATATTAGTTAATGTATGCATGCGTTATATGTGAATTATTTGAATATAAAATATTAAAAATGAATGTCATCTACTATTTTTCCAAAAGAGAAATGTATCAATATCTTCTTATCGGAAAATCACCCAAAAATTGAATTGGTATGTTTGTACTATGCTAGAGCCAAAAATTCTCTAACTGCAAATTGAAGTTGGTATGGATTTCTCTCAAAAATCACATTGATGAAGATACAACTAAAAAATTTCGTTGTTTTCGACCACCATTTCAACATTGTCGAACGCATTCAAACAAGATTCGAACTTGGTCAAACAAAATGCAATTGCATTTGATCATTTAACCTTTAAAATTAAAGGCATCAAGATCAGAAGCTGTAATGTTATGCTTCATCTTGGCTAGTCATTAATCGACCACTACTAACTTCCTATATGTTAAAACTCTTCGGTGTATAAACTCACTCATTATACTTGCAAAATAAAGTATAAAAATTCACACAAATCATAGGATTAGAGAGCTAACTTTAGACAACAACCATACATATTACATAACCAGTAGAATAAGCAGAGACTATAATATATCAAAGTAAAATAAACTTAGTAGCTCGTTTGGAGAGAAAAGATGAATAAATTGATCTATGCAAAAACTATTCTATTTTACAAATCATAAAAAAAATTAACCTAATAAAATTACAAATTAGAAATTAAATAACACAATAATAAGAGTCATATTTCACACAGAAAGAAAGGTTTGGCTGATTCATGAGTTTTAACCCTTCTCTTTTTTATTTTTGGTCAGACCATCCGGTATGCGAAAGTCACTTTAGACTCTGACTAATCCGGATTCGAGCCGGGTAGGATTACAAGGGTGGCAAAGCTCTCTCTACCAAATGCAGCTGCGTTCCCAAGACTCAAACTCGAGACCTAGTTAAACTAGAATAGTCCTTCACCGACTGATCTAACGATTCAAAAGAACTAAAAATTCAAGCAAGTTTCATAAATTTTTGACCCAATTAAAATGTAATTGACACTTGAAAATCAAAGATAGACACCCAACAACACATGCAATTTTAGTTATTTAATCGGTAGCGGTTTGTAAAAAAATTCATCTTCACAAAACTATGACAAATTTAAATCATACTTTTTACTAACGAGTTTTTTTGTTGTTTCGAACAAAAATTGACTAACAAGTTGAAATGATAAAAAAAATGCATATGCGTTCCGTAAAAATATATAAGTGTTTGGATTTTATCATTTGATGAACAGCATAAATTTTTGAGTAAACAACTGCAGGTTTCAAGTCATTCGAATGCTGAATTGGCAAGCACCAATATTTCTTATGAGTGCTCAATTAACAGCATTTCATTTAGATGAAAGTTCATAATTCACAACTAAAATTGTAAATGTTCAACTACTTTACTTGAAGTTCCATGCGTAAAATAACCCAGATGGAATCATTCTCATGAACCTAGAGTCATACCTATATCATTCTATCTGTAGTGTCCTGCAAAGAAACTATCAAAACTCTGATAGCCCACCACTGAAGACCTAATAAAGCAAGGTTATTGGACTCAACATTTATGAACTAAACATAACTATATAATAATGAGAAACAAATTATACTGACCAAGAAGAATACAATGTCTATTATTTTAACTTATCTATTCTATTTCACAATTACAAATAGAATTAAATGTTATTAATTAAAGATAGATTATATGGGCATTAGTGATTTTCTTAAGGTTTTTTTAGTTACTCAAAAGTTTTATACTTTTGTTGACATTTTATAGTAATAAGTATAAATGAGACTTTTTATAGTAAATAATAACTCTAATATTATTATAGGTAATAAGTAAGTGTTTGATTTTCTTTGAAAAATAGACCGGCACCGCTAGTGGGGGTATTTATAGGTCCTTCCTACCTCTAAAATCCTTCTAGGACATTCTCTTTGAAATGCATTGATTAGATAATTTTATATTTTTTCATATTTGTAGAAATATCTAATAGCTGTGCTATTTACTTTGTAGATGCGATAATATATTTTTTGGTATAAAGTGGATCTTGTAAAGATATGATACTCATTTTGAGAATCTTTCAAAAGTATCTAGATATCTTATATTAAACTTTTATTAATATACTTATAGAATTATTTTTAACTTATATTTCAATTTATCATTGTTTGTATAGAAGTGTGGTTTGAACTTGATGGATCAAGCTCAAATGACCCAATATATGTGGAAAGTCTAAATATCAATTGAGGAGCCTAACCTCATAAGAGATCCACCAAGCCCAACATAATCCAAGACCAGTCAGACTCTCTGCTTGGCTACGTCATCAAGAAGAAGAGCATGAGGGTCTTACCTGCATTGCAGAAGGAAACGGTCTACTCTCACCTTATTTTTTACCGCATCTCATAGAGAGCTCCCCAACCTCCTTGCCCGTTGAAAAGAAGTCGTGAGCTCTACCAGAATAGTTATGCAGTTACTAATACCTCGTCCAAATCTATTAGAAGAGTGACTATAAATTATAAGTCTCACCAACACTTGGAGGGGGCAACATCAAAGCTTGTACTTTCTGCTTCCCATACCCTTGAGTTAATAAAATACCCGGTGACCAGAGTCATTCAAGAGTGGTCGTAGGTCACATTGATCGAATCACTATAAATTGTTTGTGTCTCTTCATCTCTTTATTTTATTCTTACATTTATTATTCACACTTGATAGGTGGTATACAAAAGTATTTTTGTGCATCACCAGAACTTATTATTTTCAATATAAGAACTTGGTTGTAAAATATACTTTAAGCCTGTCCAATTCAAAATAAAAAATGGGTCCACATTGAACAAGAACAAAGATAACACTGCCAAAAAAAGAGAGAATAAAATACTCAAAAAAAGTGCACATAATTGGAGAATTAATGTGAAAAACTACGATTTTCATGAAGGGTTTAATTGGTGGGTGTGATGGTAGTGGGATGTTCGATAGGTGGCGTGGTTTGACCGATAGTGGGAAAGAGAGAGAGGCTTATAAGTGATAATGGTGGAATAACGTGATTGTGGTTCTTTTATAAATTTCGTCGGGCATGTCAAATATGCATGACCGGTTGATGTAAATGGTGGGGCTGCGGGGTGGGGATGGGGATGGGGGATGTTTGCTAAATTTAGAGGGAGACACACTAATTAAGTCCATGAATACCAAAATATGTATTCTTTTAGACACAACAATTAAAGCAATCAAATTAAAATACAAACACTCAAATTAACACCGTTCACAATCACGCACAATACATTAGGGGTATTAAATGTATCGGGTTAAACGGTTATTTGTTATATTAAACGGGTGAAAAATATGTAAACTCATATACAACACATTTAATAAATAAATAAAAAATCTCAACACGAACACAACCCATTTAATAAACGGGTAACACGACATGACTCGTTTAACTGATTTAATTTTAAAAAAAAATTATATAAATTTTTTTTAATACATCTCTTTTTTTACTGTCAATTGTATTTATTTTTAAAAAAGAGAAATTTCTAACCAAATATCACATAAAAATTAAATTTAAAAGCTAAAAAAAGAAAAGAAAAGAGGTCACTGATTTTTATAAACAAGACAGTCATCCTCATCTCCCCTCATTTGCCGACGTGGGACAAAAACAAAAAGGTTAAGGGATTGGTTTGTATTTGTCATGAACTGTTTCCATCTCTCATTGTTTGGCTTTAAACTATCACTTTATTTTTTATTTTTTATTGATTTCTTTATTTTTTTTGGGTAATTTTTTAAAAATAATTATTAATTTATTATTATATTAATTTTATTTAAATAGGTAAACGTGTGATAAATAGTTTGACAAGTCTTACTCCAGCACGACCCGTTTATTAAATTTGTCCAGCGGGTTAATTTATTTATCACCTAAACTCGTCAAAATCTCACCAAAATTCATTTAATTCGTGTCGTATCGAATTTTAACCGACTTACAATACATGCAACAACATTGTATTAACCTTACTGCTCCTTTTCCCATCTATTGCTACAATAATCAATACCCGGTTCATATCACAAATTTTCAAATTAAAAGTAAACAAATATACACAAATACATAGTCATATACGTCATCCTTCTGGTGGCCCTTTAGCTTATTTTATTTTATGTGGATTCATGTGATTCAAGAAATCCACAAAAATTGACTCAACTTAATTTGAACAAAGTCGGCTCAATTCAATAATAAATTATTCTCTTGAAAGAATTATGATTTTATTTAAAATATTAAAAACTTATTTGAAAAATAAAAAATCAAAACATATCCCAAATCACTCAACATCATATACATTTGTCTTCCCCTTTCTTCTCTAATAGATTTATGGGAAATATTAAATTTCTAGTGTGTTACGTTTATTATTGATTATAAAGATTTTTAGAGATTTGTATTGATAAATTATTTATTTCAAAATTAATTTTTACATCAAAATTAAGTTTCATCTTCGAATCTAATGCTTGCATGCTTGAGTT